AACACTCAACTTGTCAATATCTAAACAACTGAAGCATTTGCTGCGTAATTGCTTTCTCAAAATCTCATTTTGATTCTTGCTTATTCCTACCCCGCAAAGCTGAAGAAACATTTCAGTAACAGTAACATGTAAAGTTTATGTGCCATCTTAATTTTAAAAAAATTAAAAACAAAAATAATTTCAGGCCTCTGATGAAAATCCTGGACAGTATTTAGTCATTATTTCCACAACTCACTACATATTGTACTTTGTAACAGCCCAAATATGTATGGTACCTTACATGCACAGATTATCACACAGACATCTGATTACTGGTAACAGTGAGCACAGGATACACAAAATATTCACTACTAGGTGTTTTTCAGACAACATAGATATTATTATGTCTTTACTCTCTAGATTGGTACAAGAAACAACAAGTTTGGGAGACCTGGAGACCTATTGGGAAATGCAAACATTGCTCCCTTCACCCGATACATTCAGGGTTTCAGCTAGCCTTCCAAACAAGCAAAAATATTTCATTATATTGCAAGAGAATTACATGCCATATGACATCATATACTATTCTATAATAAACCTAGTAGCTTCAAAAAGCACTTAAACGAGATGAATATCGTGTGGCAAGATATTCATTATAAAGTACATAGCCTAGAAGGTCAATGTTAATAAAGACAGACTAATAACATATCCTCTCTCTACCTATTTTTGTTCAAAGACTAATCATCTCCTCTACTTGAAGATTCTTAGTGTTTTAATAAAAACGCAGCATTTTGCTTGAAAAGCTTTTTCAGAATGTTCCCTTTTTTCGTACTAGGAAGCCTTCCATGGAAACTTGAACTTGAAAATTGATTATTTTGGCATCTAAAGAACAGGTACTGCTAGTTGCTTTTAAAAAAGCTCTTAACATTTTGCTGAATTACTACCAGTAGACTCAAGTATCTAGTGATTCCACACGCATTTCTGGTTAGCAAAAAAAAAAAAAAAAAAAAAAAAAAAAAAAAAAAGCCCCACAATACTATAATACTGTGAAGAAATAATGTATTAGATGCTATGTTCAATGGAAATATAGGGCCTTGGGGATATTTTTTTTCTTTTTTTCTGCTTTATTTTTTTAAATCTAGTACTAAGCTAGTACTAGTTCCAACATTATTAGTGGGGAGAAAAGAAATACCGAGTTAAATCTGTATTCTTTTTATTTGGAGATAAGCAATCAAGAGTAACACTTAAAAATTTACTTGAAATTTTACTTAAGCCTTTCATTCAAGATAAAGTGGAAATTACACTATCCCAAGCTGGTTAGCTCCAAGGTTACACTTCTTTTCTAATATAATCAGTAACACTACTGATGTTAAACTGATGTTTACACTACTGATATTTTTTGTTAAAAAAAAGCAGCATAATTATAGGCATTTGAAGCTAAAAAGAAAATTCATCTAAACTTAATTGAACCACTCAAATGCGTGATTTTTTCATTTCTACTTGCTAATAACAAACCAGCACTAAACGAAAGTCTTGAAACAATATGTTATGCCATATGGCTAGTACTGGATATTAAAATTGCGAATATCAATTACCAATCCACTAATGCTGAGAGCCAAAATCCATGGACAGTAAGAATTTAATCCAATTCAGCAACTAAAACACCAGCCAAGCCTGATATACAGGAGACAGGAGGCAAAGCTACAGCAGTTTGCACAGAAAGGAAGCAACGTCAGCTTTACTAGAAATACTTCTATTTGCAAATATTTTTATTCCAATTTTATTGCAAAAATACTACTTAACTGAATGCAATGTTTCTTAACACTCTTATCTACAGCAATAGACAACATAAGAATCTGAAGTCTGCACACTACAGGTTTTACATTTACTGGTATCTCATTTCACATTGGGATAGAGAAATTACAACCAAGTATGACTACTAAGAAGGAACAGTTATAATTGTTCCTTACATGACTAAACTGAACCCTTCATAACACCAGGAAGTTACTACATACTGCAGCCAAAAACATCTTGTTTGATTTCAAGAACGGGCAAACACAAAATGATAAATATTTTCACTAATTAAAATATCCTTGAAGCAACTGTCTTACATGATGGGGTATCAACACAAAACATGGTAATTCCAGGGTAATTTTGAAGAATTTTAATAGTCTAAGTAAACTAGATTTAATAATTTTAGTTATGAAAGTTATAATAGCTGTACAGAGTGCTGACATCTAGATGATGATCTGAATAATTCTACACTGTTGAGTTTTACACACTTTATACAAAACTTTACTGTTCATCTTCACACGAAGAAATATGTTCTCATTAAGCCCAAAATCACACTTTCCATTTTCTTCAAAGCAAGTAAGCGATTTTAAAACTGTTCCATTAGGATTTGCTTTCGATTTCTAGCTTAACACACTGTCAAGAACTTCACAACAGGATGCTTGCTACCTACTGACCTAAGGACAAAAGGATAAATGCATTTATCTTATTCAGTACAGGATCCCATTTCACCCTCCCCCTTCCTGATCCTGTGGTAAAAGGCCAAAGTACTACTACCAAAAGATTGCATGGCTAGTTTCAAGTTCAATAGCACATTAAAAGTATCAACAAACAGAATAAACATTTTTTAAAAACAAATATTCTCTTTTATTATTTTTCTGAGAAAAATTTGTTAATTTCAGGGTGTACTTTTTCTTCCTCCTTCAAACAAAAGCCTCAACTGCAAATTAGCTCTTCTGTTGCCTGCTTTCCCTCTGTACTAACTGCAGATGGGTTATTACAGTAAAGAACAAATTGCTAATTATATATAAAGTTACAGATAAACTGAACTAAAAGTCTTGGTTTTATCAAAGGTTTAGAGTTCATTTGAATAAAAAAAGATATCACCTAATCACGTTTTATTTTTCTTGCTATGACAGTGTATTATTTTAAAGCCTGAGAATGGAAGTGTGGTATATCAAATTTGAACTACAATACCTAAATAAAACAACCTGGTTAAGAAGGATGGGTTCTATAGTAAAATATCAGAACAGATACAACTGAAAGTCCAGTTTTTAAACTATACTAAAAATGGTATCAAAATTATCACAGAAATCTCTAGTATTATTTTAAAATGTGATACCCTGACAGATCTGGATCTGTTAATATGCTATCTATACATTTTACCCTTTACCATATAGAGAGTAATTAACTAAAATATTCCAATAATTTCAGGTCAAAAGCAGTTTTAAAAGACTGCACAAATCACAAGGATTTTTATATTATAAAAAAATCTCCCATCTGCTTCAAAAGACAGTCTAATATGCAGTCTGACAATTCCTGGGCTGCTACAGAATCAGCAACAGTACATAGCCCCAGCAGCAGCTTTGCATACCTGTGCTCTAGATTTTAAATATTTCTCAGCAACATGCCTATGGAAAAACAAAGAACATTTTGATGACATTGAGCAGGCGCTGAAAGGTAAAGTAGAAAAATCATGTCACCCTTTTATCCAGTAACAGCCTACATGAACGTTTCAATAAAACTATTTACTCCTCCCACCCAGTCTCCAATCTGGAGAGGCTCACAAAATTAAGAAAACCCTACAGATTTCTTATAACAGTCTGGCAAATGGTCCTCCCACCCCAAAAAAAGAAGCAAGCAACCAGAAGCAGAAAGTAAATCTAAAGCGCAATTATGGAATGAGATCTAGCTGGCAAGGCTGTGGCGAGGAGGAGCTGAAAAATGAGAGCTGCCTTGCTGCAAACGCCATCTTGTTGCAGTTATTGGGCCCGGGCACAGAAGGATCCATTCATTCACAGCAGAAAGAAAATCAAACACGCTCCCTGGCTAATCTGCAGCCACCAAAACAACTCCACTGTTACCATCCCTTCTATTTCTCTTCTCCTAAAGGATGCAGAGGGTGAAAATGCACTATACGTAAGCTGACTAATATATTACACTTAGAGCGAGGTCGGTTCTAATGCACTATCTTCATTTCCTCACATGCTTTTTACATGGACATCGACAGCATTTCGTTTTGATTCGCATCCTTGTGTTTAGCAGAACAGTCTAAAATATGTGATAAACCTCCCACAAATAGGTGCAGACGTTTTATAAAGGCTTCAAAATGGGTTTTTTTTTTTTTTTTTTTTAGCTTTCAGATTTAAATAAAGGCTTCAACTCAGGCTGACTATTCCCAAAAGCTGTTTCAATTATTTAAGCCTTATTTTTACAGTCCTTTCTCCCTATTTTCCACTCTGAAAACGTGGCAGTTTGTATCCTAGAAAGGATGCCTTATTTAAAATAAGGAGTTCCAACTATGACTTTGTTAGAGAATAATGAAATATCACATTCGTTAAAATTTCAGGTCATCTTCACAAATGATAAATTGACATCTTAGAATAACCTCTATATCATTCTGATTTTCTTCTGGACAAGATTTTTTAAATAAAATGTCTTGCCTCTTTCATATTTATACACAAGACTCTATACTTCTTTTTATACCAAGCTACAGGGTTAAAATAAAAATCCTACACCTTAAAATCTCCCTTATATGAGCAAAAAATAAAAATAATAAAAAATAAATCTTTTTTATGATAAGATTGGTACTGAAATACCATATTAACATTTTGATAATGCTTATGAGAGGTGAAAAAAAATCCCCCCAAAAAACAAAAAACATTTTTTTACTGTAGAAATGCCCTCCATTATTTGCTGTTATGGCTACACAAAAATATGCAGCACCGTAATAGATGAGGAAAACGAATATGCAGGCTCAACACATCCTCATCCCCCATTTTTAATCAGAAAAAAAGCATTTTCCGCACCTTTCTTCCCCAGGAGCAGCAGCAGGAGCCCAGCCCAGCCCCAGATGCTCCCTCGCCGCCTGAGGCCGCGTCTTACCCTGCTTGTCTCACCCCTGCCTCCTCTTAATCAGTTTTCCACCATTACAGCCGAGACACCATTGCTTTTTCTTCCATCTGCCTCCAGAATCTCCCGCTGCTGGCTCGATCCCTCTGGAAACTCACCTTTTTTTACACCTTAACACACAAGAAAACACCCTAAAACGGTCTAGCATCAATCGCTACAGCCTAATTACAATAATAATTAAAAAAAAAAAAAATGGAACCCCGCAAAATCCAAGGTCTCCTCCCTTTTTCGCCTTGAAACCTTCAAGAGGAAAAAAAAAAAAAACGTCCCACCCACACCTTTCTCTCCTCCTCCTCCTCGAGCAGCTCCAAACACGGTTCTTTTTTAGGGGAAGCTCAAGCATCGAGGGCTGGGAAGAATGGGGGGGAAAAGGGGGATTTTTCCCAAGGCGGCTCCGCAAGGAAAGGGGGGACAAGCCATGAACTGCTGGGGGGGAAATCGGGGAGGAAGAGGATGGACTGGACGGGGTGGGGAGAAGATCTGAGGCAACGAAAGGATTGGGAAAAAAGAGGCAAAAAGGGAGGGGTGGAAAAAGAGAGGGGAAAAAAAAAAAAAAAAAAGAGAGAGAGAGAGAGAGAGAAGTGCGGCAGCAGGGATGGGGGAGGGTGGAAGCCGCGAGAGGAAGAAGCTGGGGATGGAGGCGGGAGGGGAGCGGCCGAGGGGCCGGGGCGGCGGGAAGATGGCTCCGGGGTGGGGCCGGGCTCGCGGCGACGGGCAGCGGCGAGCGCAGGGCTCCAGCGCGAGCCGTTCCCAGCCAGCCCGCCCTCCTCTCCCCGCAGACGATACCTGCCCTTCCGTCCGCTGCTCATTAACGGGCCCGGTTCGTTCGTCCGCCCGCCCCGGCCTGCTCTGCCTGCGCCCCCGCGGGCTGGGCAGGAGAAGGGGGCGGAGGATTTGGGGAGCCGTCCACGCTCCGTCTGCTCCCGGCGACACCGCGGCTCGGGGGGCGGGAAAAGGAGAGGGCGGCGGTTGTGGGGAGGGAGGAAAGGGGGATCGCTGGGTCTCGGCTCCTCCTCGGTCCCCGCTCAGCTCCCCGCAGCCATCGGGAAGCGAGAGCCCTGGGCGCGGTAACCTTCCCCCCTCCGCCCCGCCCGTGCTGCCCGCACGGGAAACCCCGGCCCGGCCCGGCCGCTCCGCCGCCCCCCTCGCACCTCTGCAGACCCCCGGCCCGCCGCGCTGCGGGCGCCGCTGCCTCCGCGGGGGGAGCCGCCGCTGCGCGGGCCTCGGGGGCCGCTTCGCCGCCGCGCGCACGCGAAGAGGCGCGCGGGGAGGCAACGCCCTTGGTGGCGGGCGGCGCAGAGGCGCTCGGGCGGCAGGAAGGGAGACGAGGGCCGCTGTCCGTCTTCCTCTGCCCGCCCCTTGGCGCGCTCGCTCGGCCCCGGAGCCGGGCCCTTCCTGCCGCGGAGCGCGAACAAAGGGCGAGGGCCCTGGCCGCGCCCGCGGCGCTTCGGCGCAGCCTCCGTGAGCGGCAACGGGCAAGCGTTCCGCCTGAAAAAGTGAAATAATACTCGAAAAGAACTGAAATCAAAACCCCCTCCCTGCAGATAAATTACGTAGCTAGATTTAAGCCGCGTTTGGAGGAAGAGAAGATGTCGTTACCTCAGCGGTGAGACAATAGCGAATCTAAGCATTTGAGGGAAATTCTGACCAGTTTGGTACAAAAAAAAAAAGGTTTTGTGTGTGGAGGGAGGTGCTAAGGCCTAAAATTACTGCTAGTAAGAAAATCAGAAAGGAAGTTCCTCCATGTTACTGTTTTACGTCAGGAACTTGAGGATTGGTGACAGTTCAGTGGGCTTCCACCTTGGCCTTTCTTTTTCTCTCTTTTTTTTTTTTTTTTTGTCTTCTCTGTAAGGATTTATAAGGATTTTTGTATAATCAAAGTTTCCAGAGGCCTATTTTTGAATTCTGCTTACAAAATAGGAATCCACCTTTGCTCTGGGAAGCATTGAGCATTGTGCAGAATTGAGCAAATCAAATAAAACAACATTTAAAAGAAAAGGGGAAAAAAAAACAAACTTTTTTTTTTTTTTTTAAACAGACTGGACCTCCCATAAGCCAGGCAGGGCAGGTGTTACCCAGACAGAATCCTTTCACATCAGCACTCAGACTAAAGCTTCAGTACTTAATGAACTAAGTAGACAGTGATACAYCACTTTCCCTTATCAAGAGCTCTAAATTGCTTTTTCTGTTTTTTTTTTCATAGTTTAGCTCAAATTACAAGAGCGTACTGACCAAAAAAAAAAAAAAGTAGAAAGGGGAGAGACGAAAGTAAATGAGGGCAGGTTTGGGAGGGAATAGTTAAAACATCTGCCTGAAAAGAATATGGTCTAATAACGTAAAAAAGCTACAGGCAAATACTTTTTTCTTCTCCCCCCCCCCCCCCCCCAAAAAAAAATCTTGCAAACTCTTCCTACAGCAGCTACTTGCTTCTCCAGAATTTAAAGCACCAATGACTTGCCATCATGCACTTAGGAAGATAGCTGTGGTTACCTGTAGTTAGTAAGGGGAAGAATAAGTTTGTCAAATAGACAAAGTGGGTGAGCTATTACAAGTGATTTAGGTTGTCTGTTAAGAATAACTCTTAGATTCTTCTGTGGTTAAGTTTTTGTTACATAATAATCCAGTGTGTATTTTTAAATGCTTTATATCCTATGTTTAAGTTTTTGTTTGTTTGTTTKTTTCCCTGAGATTTATAAATAACAAGAAATTTGCTGGAATTAGAATCAAGGATTCTTTAATTATAGTCCTAACTTGCTTCTATTCTGTTCACCATGGGGGAATAAATTGTGCTCCAGTCCTGCAGAGAAATATGCTTGAGACATGCATCATGGAGAGGGACTATCCCATTAAAATCAATTGAATAACTTGCATGCACGTTGGGGATGTATGTAAATGTTCTTGAGATTGGGGCTAAATTCCATTTCTATCTATAAACTATTGATTAAATATAACTGCTTAAGGAACACACCATCAAGTTTATTAGATATTTACAAAAATTCTAGACATTTGAAAGCAGTTATGCAGTATTTAGGTCAGAAAGTCTAAGAGAAAGATTAGAGAGTCTAAGAGTTGGCGAGCTGTACCATCACTTTTATGGAAAGACTTTATATAGAAAAAAAGATAAAAATGCCATTTTATGGTGCATGGGGGTTTGAGAAGATTGACCACCTAAATTCAGTGAAGGAGTGGTACAAAGAGAATTTTAAAAGCATCTTGTTTTACTAAGGAAGAATTCATAAAGCTTCGTAAGGTTTTGTGGAAAATTTTCAGCCAACACTGGATGATCTAGTAGAAATCTGTGGAATGCAGTGAAATAAAGTTCTGATGTTCCTAACAAATACTCCTATTTTGGTTGTTCAACAGAATAGTGGCAATGAGATTTTGTTATTAGGCAAGAAGATTCATTATGTGAACTAACTACATCATAATAAACAAATTCATGTGCTTTGTCACAAAGATACTTAAGCCTGCTTTAAAATTGTCTTCTATGCTTCTGGTAATGCACAATTCAATCCCACCATTTTTAAAGTAAGCAATCAGATCTTATCCTTTACCAGGAATCTCAGTCTCTCTTTTTCTTTCTATTAACTCTTTTTTGAGCACTAAGGGGTCATTTCTCTCTGCAGGCCTGTGCTCTGTCACCTCTTTAAGTGTATAGAATTTGTCTAAGAAAGCTGGACAGAATAAACACAGTTATATGTGACAGCTAATACTTTTGCCGCACCTATTCTGTATAAATATGACTGTTGAAGTAGTTCCTGTTTCTATTCCAGGAACTTAATTATTTCTTGCTCTCCAGTGAAAAATTTGAATGATACATAGTTAAAAGTCAATATAAAGAAAGTTTGGACATTTGGAAGGGGCCAATTACAGGGTGGAGGGTCTGTGCTTTTTTATTCTCTCTGTCTGTAAATCTGGCTGGACAAATCGGTTCTGCTGCATTTTTAAAACAGGGCTGGAAGGGTGCAGTTAAACTGCTGAGTACAATGGCTAATATCACAGGTAGCCATGTCATCTAATATCTTTTGAAAACTTAGCAAACTTAATGTTTAAATTATTTTGTATGTTTTTATTATTTGTTTTAAATTTAAATTATTATTTGAGGGTTTTTTTTTGCCGCTGTATTTTTAGCTAAGTATTGGAGAGACAAAGCCCCTGAAAATACCTGTCAAAAATCCTTTAATATAATTACTTACTTAATCATAGAATCATAGAATCCTTAAGGTTGGAAGAGACCTTTAGAGATCATCTAGTCCTACCCTCCTGCACACGGACACACCTAATGATTACCTAATGAGCACTGCATTATTTTTGGAGGCATCCAATATCAAATCTTTTCCAGTATAAAATGTTAAAGACAGTTTTCTCTTTTCCTGGACTGCAGGAGTAGGAAAACTTGTTAAAAAACAACAAAAAAAAAGGAGGGATATTGCATAATCCTGAGAGAAGGTGTTCTTGTTAAACAAGAAGAGCAAGGGCCTAATGTGGTCCTCAAAGCATAAATTAGTTTACAGGAGTTTTATTTGCAAGTGAAATTGCCATTACATATTGTTTAGAAACATACTGTATTAATATTTTGTTGAATGTTTTGTCAGTGTTCTGCTCATTTCTTAGGAAGTAATTTATTTGTGCTTATAAATAGCATTGCTACCATGTGTATAAATAAATTTACACACAACACAATCAAATACAAACCTCTAGGTTTTCCTCTAAAATAGTCTTTTCAGTACCATTTCAATTGCATGAATTCATATTAAGCAGTTGAGTAAAGTTTAATGCCTAATATTTTCTCCTTTAAGGAGACTTTTTCTCAAGGGGACCATTGTCTCTTTGAACAACTAACAGAAAAACAACTGGTACCCTGGAGATGTTGAGAATTTAGAATCCATGCAGAGAATTCAGCCTACTAAAATTTCCATGATGTCTGATGCATCAGACCTGCAGTGAAATTTGCCTGTGGGAATTACCTCCCATGCAAAAGAGGATTTGCTTATTTCGCTCCCTGTCGGGTTCCCATGGAACATTCTTTCATCCTTAGCAGAATGATTTCAAGTGGCCACAGATGTCACATGGAAGCGGCTACCAAACATGTTGTAATTACGATGAGGGTGCTAGCCCTTCAAAGAGCTAAGTCTCATTTCATTGCTGCAGTTGCAGTGTAGCTTCCATGTTGCTAAGGGTTCCAAAATCCAGAAACATAAAAAATACATAAATGTAGTTGAGTAGGGGGATTTCTACCACTGTCAATATTCAGTAGGTCAAGATTTAATAATAGTTATCTCCCGTACTTCAAAAGTGAGCATTTATTTGAAAAAATTTACTGGGACCTAGAAAAATACAGTGATGAAAGACAGTCTGAAATGAGTAGACTTCCATCATTCACATGAAGCAAATTTGGCAGCTGAATTTAGCCCAACCACACTGTTCTTCCAGCAAAAGAGAAATCAATGAAGAACAAAGAAGTATGCTAATTTGACATTTAAGTAATTCCAGAAAAAAAAAAAAGTGTGACTATTACATAATGTGTATAGGGCTTCTTCATAAACTATAAGACAATGTTATCACATAGGCTGTTGTTTAAGTAGCCTAAATAGCTTTAGAAGATATAGATTTGTTAAATAATAGGGCAGGGCATAAAGTAGAGAGAGGACCAATAAGAATCCTTAGGCAACAGATCCCATGGTATGTGGGTTTAGGAATGTGAACTCCCGCCTGCACCAATCTTAAGTGGGAAAGCATTGCATGGTAAATGTAAAGAATTGGTTCTAAGAGTGCATTGAAGCACAACCTAAGCAGGCTAAATGATGCAGAGATTCTGAGACCTGCACATTGGATTTCCTCACGCACTGGAGCAGGAGGATTTAGTGTGAGGAATTCATGATGATCACAGGGCAGGCAGAAGGGACAATGTTTCTTTACAGATTTGAGTTAAAAAACACCCAAAAGCTGGAGGAATTGAAGTGCTAGCATACAGCACCCATATCTAGCTTTTCTTCAGCTGCTTCTAAAGAAGAAAGAATTGCAACAAATGACTACGTGTTCTATCCCCAAGAATTCATAGACTGTAGTAAATTTGTCTGCTTGGAAGACACTAACACTTTAGTAAATAAATAGTGAGCAAAATTGACTTTTAATGCAAAGACAATATAATGCAAAAGTTAAGCCCCTCTACATATAGATTTTTAATTGAACAAGAAATATTTAATGACAAAAAAATGGAAAATATTTTGACAAACCCTAAAACATAAATAGATCTAGACTAAGAATTTCTAAAAGGTCAAGGAATAAATTCAAAAGAACCAGCTAAAACTAACAGCCTCCTCCCCAACTTTCCCAACAGTAATAGGCCTCCATGGGCAAACAAAAAAACTTAAGAAGGAAACCCACAAACAAGCAGTCTGATTAGTTACTAATTTTTCCAAAAGCTTTTTCTTTTCAATTAACTGAACAGACAAGTTTCAGATTTGATAATAAATTCATTTTTAGGTGATTATTGTGCATGGAATTTCAGTGCTTCATTAAATTCATTTGTGCTTGAGAACTGTAACAGCTGGAAAGCAGGTTTTATGCTACACTACGAGTAACATGCTGACAAATCTCTTACCTACCAAAGCTCAGCAGCAGAGCTGTAGTATTGCCTGTGTGTGTTTAGGGTGAGTTATGCTGTTATACTACTGCTGCGCATCATGCTAATCCAATGAAACATAAAGACCATTGTGTTTTTTGTGACTTCTTTCACAGTGGTACCAGTAGGGATTTGCACTGGGAATATAACAGAGCAGAACAATCTAGATAATTGTTGATGTGACTTATTTTGAGGTTATGGATACAAACCTTCAAGTAAGGAAAATTCCCACCAACTTCAACATGTCTTAAAAGGCTTAGGGCTTACACAGAAAGGTTTAGCATCTGAGTCACTGGCCCATTCACATGCTGTTCATCTCTTAATTCAACAAAATAACTTCATAGTTCTGTGGATTATGGGCTATCATCAGAATGTAGCTAAAGCTAAATGACCAGGCAAGTGCTTTAAAAAACATTTGAAAGAAAAAATAGAAAAGCAATTCCTATCAGTAACACTTTAAAGTATTAGAATTTTTAAAAAGTGATTGTACTTCTCTATTTAAAATGATAGCTTGCCTTTTTGCATTTCATTTATATTTATGATCAAACTAATCAGTTTCATTTTCTGCATCTTCTGTTGTTGTAATATTGAAACTTGAATCGATATAAGAGCTAGACAGAATACAATAAAGATGAATGACTTTTTTGGTACTTTTCATAAAACCTTCCTCCATTGCCAAAATTAACGTCGAGGTCTAAGCTAAGGGCACTATGTGGTTTACTAATTTGCCCTTGTCATCAGATACGTATCTAGATACAACATTACCTTTTGACATTTGGTATTGACTCTATTGCTATTTATAATTTATTGYTTTGTTAGTGTGAGCCTTCACAGTTCGCCTAAAACTCAGTTATTCTTTTTCTTGTACATGTGCGTGTGTAGGTTGGTGATGTGGCATGGATTTTAAAAACTCACTACCTGCTGATGCAAACAGTGGCATTTGGCACTGAGGTGACTTCCTTTTTTRCAATCGTGGAAATTCAGAATAAAGTTTTCAGACATTGACTTTGTGCCGGTCTTGTGCAAGGCAACATGTTCATAACTGTTGATGTGGTTCTAGAACAGTATTCTACCCCATCTGTGTGGGGTACGTTATTTTCATTACCACATTTACTCACCTGTGCTAGAGCTAAAATGAGATCTATGAATTCACTTCTGCCAGTGTTCCTTTAACCAGTACAACATGTTCTGGTCTGAAGATCTGGTGATGGAATAAACTCTGCTCAATATGGCTAACTCCCATCCACTCTGAAAATATAGCAGGCAGCCTTTGTTATACCAGTACTCTTGTAGGGATTGCCACCACCATGTGGTGGAGCACAAGCAACATAACTACACTTTTCAGAGATATTTCAACAAATAAGCCCCAAAACAGAAAGCAGAACAAGCTGCATCTGTGTCATGCCACATTTTTGTACCTATTTCAGCCCGATCTAAAGCTGTCCCTGAGTGGCTCAGACTAGAGCCTATTAAGTTGTTTTTAAAGGACACTGGAATCTAGATAGAATCTAGGTATTAGAATTAGCCCAACTAAAATTAATGAGAGTTTAGGCATTGACTTGATGGGGGCCTGATTTGCCACAGTTTTCCTTTTTTTGCAATTGTGGCAGATTTGTATTATGACAAAATTCCCAATAATCAATCAGAGTTTTGTCAAACTCTCCTAAGAAATGGGATTGAAAGGCGGTAATAGTAATCTTTATCTCCCATTTTGATCATTTTTGGTTTAGGGACTACGTCTAATTTAGTATATAGTTACAACAATGAGACTTCACAGTTAGGGTATTTTGGGGATTAAGTCCTGTCATTATTAATGACTTAGTCTTCTTAAGCAACAGTGCTGCCTATCTTGAACACTTCAGCTGAAGGTTTTGGGTGTAAACGTAAACAGTTCTATACTTACAGGTTTTCACTCAGCATAGGCAAGGCTTAAATGCATTTCCTGCTGCTCTGCATATAAGGCGTTGGAGGAGGGAAATCTGGAGAGATTTGTGCCAGATTATTTTTTTAAATACTGGAGCCTTCCCTGAATTCAAGACAATTCAGTAAAGGCGTGAATCACTAGAACTGCAGACATGCAGGAATTGATTGCCTGCCAGAAAAACCCCTTCTGAATTCACTACTGTAATTGAGGATTCATGTGTTTTTGCAAATTCCTAACGGACCAATCTGACTCATTTGGGGACTTAGCAGTTACTCCCTCCTTAACCCATCCTACCTCCAAAACTACACAAATTCCCCTTGGTGTAGTTTTATTTCTCTGATTATTTTTTCTTATTTATGAAATAGCTAATTTGGGCATCTTGGTTAATCACAAGTACACAGGTAAATTACAGCAAACTGAGCTATGACAGAAACAAGAACCAAATGACCTGCTTACAGGAGCAGGTCTAAGCACATAAACAAACGAGGTAAAAATAGAATGAATGTTGGGAGTAGAAAAAGAACTAGATATGGATACAGGCTTTAAGTTTTATAGTTTATAGTTATAAAGGAATGAAAAAAGCACTAAAATAGCCTCATAGCTTTTCAAACTATCCTTAGCCTGCTTTTTTCCCTTAAAAATTAATTAATTTATTTATTAGCATGCATTCTCCTGATTAAAGCTTAGAGATTCAGAGATACAAGTTCTATAATGAAAATAGCAGGACATGTTAGGAAGTGAAAAGATTTACTAAAAAACCCCATCATTTTTGTTATCATCGCATGTGCTGCACAATATCACTATCTACAGTTTGCWCAAGGAAACAAGAGCTAATATCTTCTGTCAATAGCCAATCATTTTGATAGAATCCTGTGGGAGCTAAGGCATTCTCTGATGAAATATGGGTTTATTAGTGGTGAGAATGAGGGAAACTGGAGAGAAGATCTATTCCTTTTCTGGGCTGGAGCAGAATTACTTCTTACATTTTTGGTTTTGTGGTTTGTTTTTTCTTCTTTTAATTAAGGCATTTTACTTCTGAAACATGATTTTCCACAGGAGGGATATTTATACAGCATCTTCCACCCATAGACACTATGCAAAAATAGTAGTAGATTGCATTTATTTTTCCTCTTTTCAGGCAGCTCATCCATTTCTGATGAAGCAACTCATGGAGAGAAGCATCTCCTTTCTCCCCTGTTCTTTGATTTCCCACCAGTTTTCTCATCAGAGGGAGAAAAAGCAGCAGCACACATAGCTAGCCCTTGTAATCACAAGCCTGTTTTGAACTCTCCCTGTATGAGATGATGCAATGTCATTCTAAGCAGTGCAATAAAAACCCTTTGCATAGGTAGCATCAGCAAAGCGTCCAGCCTGCCAGAACGGTACAAGGAGGTAAACAGGGTGATTAGGTATCCAGCTCACATGACATTTCCCATGGGTTACTTTAGGCAACTGTTTATTCAAGACCTGCATTCAGTAGAAATATATTAAATATCATACTTAAATTATGCAAGTTTTAGCATACTCTGAATAATAGCCTTGTATTATATGTTCAGCATCTTCAGGAAAGAATTGTGTCCAGAGGAATAGCGAGACAAAATGGTTCTAAAATTATGGTTCTAAATGGTTCTGTGGTTCTAATGGTTCTAAAATTATGGCTAAAAGCCCCCTGGCTTTTAGCTGAGGGCCAGTAGGCATCCAAGGTGCCCATAAATCAACTAAAGAGACAGGGGAAACAGTAAGTGAGAATCTGACAACTTAAAGCAATGTTAGGCTACAGGGCTGCTGAATGAGGCCCCTTTAATACCAATGCCAGCAGTGCTTTTCTGGCAGTACTAGAGCAAGCAATCATGGTTCATGGTTCTTCAGGAATGCTACTAGACACTCAACAGTTGAGCAATTACATAGCTGCAGCTATAGGGAAAAAAAGCAGAAAAGACCATAATGCTGCCTTTGAGATACTTGCCATGGACTTACATGAGCAGCTAATTGCATCCCAGTGTTTGATTCCAGGTAATGTCTGCTTCTTCAGCTGTTAGAAACTATCATCTGTGGTGGAAAATGAGATACACACCACTGCAGCTGTTAAATATGCACTTGAAAAGAGGGAACAGGAAAAAGAAGGATAAGCAGCCTGTAGGATGCTGCCATCTGAAGGCTCTGTCATTAGAGATCCTCAAAGCCACAGTCCTAGGTCAAATGGAGATGCAGACATTCATTCTAGATCTGGCCATAGAACCAAATCTAGGGAAGAGTCTGCACAGAATGGAGAGAAACATTTGGATAGGCAGTTTTGTCATTTTGAATTACTTTCTGCAATTAAAAAAAGAAACAATATGCTTTTTCCATGTGCGGATGATTGCCATGTCTTTTTTCAGTCCAGAAGACAGCAGATACAGAGCACTGACTACGCACAGTTGGAGGAGACTGCGTGTATCCAGATCATTTGCCTTGTAGTACAACAGGCCAGAATCCTGTTAAAATGCACACTGTTAAAATGCATCTGGAAAGATCAGCGTGTACTTAGCGGACAACATTATCTACCTGAATGCATGCCTGGCATGTACACTGGAGAACAACAGGAGATTTTAGATTAAATTAGATTTGGAAAACGCCCAGCTGATCCACATCTAAGCAAACTGCAAATATTTGCTGCAGGCCCTGTTTGATCTTTTAGTATTGGGAGGAAAAAAAAAAAGTCAGCAGTAAGGCTGACTTCAAACCAAAAGAAAGGAGATTATTAGTTTTGAGTTCTGTGAGTAGGGAAAGTAAAATACTATATAGATAAAAGGCAATGTTACCTCTTACTTTTTAAGGCAAACTAGAAAGGTATTTTATTAGTTGGAAACAGTTGCTCTCTTTGGGTGATAAGGATCAAGAGTAATGCCAATGAGTTCCAAATCYTGAGTAGCTTCAGAGTCACAGTTCTACATAAATACACAGGGTATATACTGGATATGTTCCATGCTTGCAGGTTCAACCAACTCACCTTTAATTGCCATAAAACATCCACTCTGCTTGCTGAGCCTTGGTGGTTTCAAGAGCCCTGTTTGAGAGGGTCATGTCCTCTTTTTTCAGTCATTTGTTCTGAAAATTTAATCAGATGTCATACAGAATATCCATTCTTTCTCCCTCTTTCTCTCTTGTGCTTTTTGCATAATTGTGCCAGAGCTGTGCTTTCAATGCATTTTTAGCTCATCTTCTGTTGGTCTTTGTTTAATATCTCTTCAAACGCAGGCTGTTTATCTTCCAGAGAAGACTGAAGGTTCTTGACTGGCTGCTTTTGCACTTAACCAGGCTCTGAAGTGATGCTGGAGTGGGATGTAGACCAAGGAAAGAATGGGACTCTGAAGCAATTCTCATTCTTGCCCGAGAGGCAGCGGTGTTGAAGTTCTTTTCAAGGTACTTCATTTAGAATTTAGGACAGACTGAGCTGCAAGAGCTGGACATTGGTAGAGGCTCTAGGCTCACTAATGCCATCTTGTGGAAAAAGGCAGAAAAAAAGACAGTGATATATTGATTTCATGGCCTTCTGGTTAGCTAATCACACTAATATTGCCAGCTAATGCTTTAAAGAAAAAAAAAAGATGACCCTATGTACAGCGCAGCTTCCTCCCACCTGCTTCAGGGGACACTATTTCTATATTATTTCTCTGATAACTCCCTTTTGAGAAAGATGCAGCCAGGTGGGAGGTGTTGGTCAGGGTAAAGGACAGTATTTCCTGCACAGTGGAGGGAGGCAAAGCCTGTGGCCCAGCCTGGTTTTATATTTTGTGGGGAGGGTGAAAAGTAGAAAAGAGAGAACTTCTGAACTAGGCCCAAGAGTGCAGATTGCAGAACAAAGTGTGAGCTTCAGCAGGGGAGAAATGAACAGACCGATACAAGCAAAGTGCTCGTGCAAGCTACCAAAGCCATGGCATCTTTTTAGTGTTTACATCTGAAATGGAATCTTTGTTGGCTCTATGTGCCTTGAAATCCAGATCCCAGTCAAAATTAGCCTGGAAAACCAGGAGTCGTGCGTTGAGTTGGGGGCAATACTTATTAGAATGACAAGAAGCCTCAAGTTCGAGACCTGAAAATTTCCTAAGCCAATAATCTTATGAACGTAATGACATTTAATGTATTCACAGTATTAAGAGAACAAAAAGCCAACAGGCAGATAAAAATATACTGCAGATTTCTGCAGGAGGCTGGCTCAGGTATTGTTCTTTTCCTCATACACACATCTACTTACCCACTTGCATCTTAACTAGATGCAATAGATATTTCATCCCTGAACCCAAGTCAATACCTTCTCTGAAACCTGAACCAACAATTTATTCCTTCCAGCACTTCACTGGTTACTCTTTTTAGAATATGTCCCCTTAGTCGGGGGCCAAAGATCCAGTTGAAAATAATCAGAGACTGAGATATATGTGCCCACAAAAGCCAAACTTCTCTATTGAACCAAGATTTTTAGCTTAGTTGTTAAGGTAACTGAGTTTTTTAAAGCAGCATTGCGTAGCTATCACATCTTAACTGCACCAACGTGCTGTGACATGAACCATTCCCTTAGCACTTTGCAGAAAGTGTATGTGGGAAATCTGCATAGCTGGCCATGCATTTGCTGATCAGTTCAGTAGAAGACATTCTTCCAAACCAGTCAAACCTAGGTTTTAAAAAATTTTTAAAAATCTTCCCACAGATTCAACCAGTGAAATGCCATTCCAACTTTAGGGTCAAGAGTTGATCCAATTTTATTTTTAAATATCATGGACACCTAGGACCCAGGCCCTGAATGCACATGTAACAAAAATGCCCTCCCTGGACCTGCAGGAGTTTCTGATCATCCAGGTGTTTAGTGACCAAGCACTAAAACAGCACCCAGGAAAGCGAGGCAGAGGCAAGTGAAAGGCAGGAATGACTTTTCTCTATGTCTAAACCCTATTGACGGTTCACTGTGGGTGTTGCAGATTTACCACTTGATACTCTCCAAAGATTATAGTGCATTGATCATAAAGTCATTCTAAGTGTGCCACTTAATTCCTTTGTTAGGTAGCTTGGCTCTGAGGCATTGTGCAACCTGAAGTTCACAACAGAGCCACAGTATAGTTTGCTTTGGGCTATAAAGCCTACGAATTATGGAAGCAATTCCCAAGTGTGGCACGACACAGTAGGAGCCTTGGCCGGCTGAGCAGAGCGGCTGCTGTGGGCGCAGGTCTCCGGCACAGGGTTGTTTTTAACCTGCTTCCCAAGGAAGCCAGGCTCTGTCGTCACGCTGTCTGGCGTGTTCTGTCTCCCCTCCTTCCCTTCCCCAGCCCCAGCTACTAATTTTCAAATCCACTGACCAATTTAAAACAAGGTTGGTGGGGAAATGGAGGCCACAGAGACATGAAGCTCCCCAAGGTCATGAAAACAGGAAACTGCACAGAGGAGAGGGATCATCAAATACCCCCACCGTGGGAAAGCCTGCAGCATGAGTTCCCCTTTAGCTCCATGTAATGGAGAAGGCACACAAAACAAATCTTATCCATGTCCTAAATATAAGAAAAGCCTCTACTGCAGGTTACATATTCTGAAATGTTTGGAAGTTTGATCTATAGGTATAAAATTCTAGAAAACGAAGTACCTTTACTGGGGCTGTTCAAGAAATTTGAAGGCTTTTTTGTGCTTGCATACACAGAAGACCCATCTGTGAACAGATCTCCACTATAGTTGGCTCTGTGGGAGAGTTTTCTACTCTAAAACATATACATCTTAAACATGGGCCAGACAGGATGGGAAAAGGAACAGAGACATAAGGGAGGAAGTGTCTTCATGGAGGTCACCTACCAGGCCTCCAAAGGCAGCACATCACAATAGCACTTGCACAGCAGCTGCAGGCAGATTTCCTCAGCCAGAGGATAGAAATTTTTAGCACCCTGGAGGAGAATCATTTAAATACGAATGTTGACAGGATTTTACACTTTGCAGAGCCTTCCTACAACAGGCAAGGACAGCCTGATAAAACCAATAAAAAAAGCCAACTACTTGTGTCAGTATGGTGCCAAGATAGCTCTAGTGAAGGACATTACATTAAAAAAAAAAATCACCAAATTAGTTGTGATTAACAGCAACCTCTTTAGGTTGTGGGTAGATTTACAGAAAACATCAACAGCAAAACAGGATTTCTAGGACTGCAAATCCTAGATCCCATACAGAGAGATACATAGAGGTAGTCAGAGCCCAAGCAAAAGTCAAAAGCAAAAAAACTTTTATGGAGAGCAGCAGTAGGAAGTAAGACAACAATAATTCAATGCCACATTTTTGGGTGTGCATAGTATTAAAACAAAGACATTAATGTTAACTTACCATGGAGTAAGGTTAGGTACTCCCAGTATTCGCTTCCTAGGCTGTGCAAAAAGAACAGGCTGAAAGACAGGCTAAGCCTAATATTAACAAGAAGAAATGCTGACTTTCCCCAGCTCGCCAATTAACTAGAAAAGATGGTCAGTGGGTCCTCTTTTCCATCCTGCTTCCAGCTACTGAGCCATGCAGGGCCTATTGGAGCAGTACCCTCAAGCTGTTACTACTCTATATTAGGTTTCAGGAGATCTGCCTTTTAATTTCTTCTCTGATATTAACTTGTTTCATATCTCTGGTCACTTTCTCTCCCTCTAGTCTCTACATGTAAGGGCAGTTCTAAGGTCTGACTGCATCCTACACAAATATAAACTGCTGCTTTTAAAGTGGGAAATACCTCTTTGCTGCAAGCAAATTTATAAAGCCCCTATTCACAAGTTTACCATTTGGAGGACACCATTTCTACAGTGCTGTTGATCAGAAGAAACCTGTTAAGCACAGCTGTAACTAATGAGCACAGGCTGCTATCATCTGCCTCGTTAAAGACAGAAGGCCAGGGCCATCTATTACTCTTTGATTATCAGTTTTCCCTGAAAAGGACTCAGATGATTTTGATAAAAGGCTGAGATAACAGTGCTAGGAGCAGACTTAGCTACTTCTGATATGCAAAGAAAATCCTGTGCTCTTGCAGCCTGATTAGGTCAGAGAAAGAGCTTAGTTTTTAATTAATTAGAGCATGAACAAGAAAAGATCTTTCACAGGTGATGGAGGAAGATACTAGATGACAGCCTTCCCTGGTAGGATGTCAGGAGAAATCAGAAGGGCCTTATTTGCTGTGCTGTGTCAATGCACAGACACTGAACTGTTCTGGAGTGCTGCTTCCTCCCAGCCTGCCCTACTTCTCCAAAGAAGACGCTGTGCCTAAGGGCTCCCAGGAGCTGTTAGGGACATGAGGAACTTACTCCTGAAGGGCAGTTGTCTCTGAGGTGACCTAGAGTGAGACAGGTGTCTGTTAACCCACGTGGCCCCTCTCCAAACCTGGTGAAATCTGTTTGTAGCTGCTGCCAGGCACAAGATGGAAGAGCCTAGAAGCCAAAGGATACTGGGAATGGGAGGCAGCTGGCTTCACTGCTCCCTCGTCCTCCTCCAGCAAGCTCAGGCCTTGAGTGTAGAGCAATCTCTGCACAATTCAGCAAAACCGAGCCTTGCAGCCACCATTTGGTCCTTGCACCAGCAAGAGATGCTCTCTGCACAAGCAATTCCCAGGGAGAATACAGCCCAGCACACTGCAAAGTGCAGGACTGCCCTCTTGTGTCCCTCTTGCTTCTCATATTCACCCAGGTTTATATTCCTTTGTTTGCCAGGAAGCACCCTACCATTTCCTGCATCCGTTCTGCTGAGCACGGTGTTTTATCACATTTTATTTTTGTAGTAGGAAACAAAAATCCAGTGATCAGTATACAAATTTGCTGCTTTATACAGATAATAAAGGAGCCAAAATAATAATGATTAAGGTTTTGTTGAAACAGAAATTTAAAGACAGTGTTAGACCCTATAGACACTATCAGAGCAAGATTTGCAGATGTGCTGTGTCAGATAGAAATGTAATCTGTACCTAAAACTAATGGTGTTTGTTACTTTGCATACAGGATTCTGATTTTGACAACACTTTCTCTTTGTAATTTAATGTCTGCTGAGTCTTTTTAGTAGTGTCCTGGCTTTCCTCATAGGTTTAATCCATGTAATTTAACACACTAGATGCTAGATGACATTTTTTTGCATTAAGCTTTTGGAACCGGTTTGCTAGGATACATCTAATGATTTTAATATGGAATACTCCTGCTCTGTGGTTTCTTTGAGGTCAGCAAAACAGGCACAAATGTTGCATGGTGGCATCACACATTGGAACTGCTTGAAGAATGAAGATTTTCAACTAAAAACTCTGCAAAAACTGTTAATTTCTAATTGAAAAATCAAGAGTTTCACAAGAAAAATTCCTGATTATTCATAATAGACTTATCACTTGTGGACCTGATACAGTGTTGGCAAATGTTTATGTGCTTGCCTGAAAATTATGTGTAGTATTCACAAAATGCTGTCTAGATGTAGGTACTAGAGTGAAATGGTTCTGCCAAGAAGCAGTACCCAGTGAAGAACATTAGAGTTATAAAAAAGCAAACATGTTAAAATACTTAAAGTGGCACAGATGGCACTCCAAATGTCATCATGCCATTATGTTAAACCATCCTGTGTTTAATATCTAGAATATTGTGTTCCATTTTGCTTTTTCTACCCTGAAGAAGAGACAACAGAAATGCAGAAGAATTTAGGGTATGTCAAGGAAAATAAAGAAAGATCCTAAGATTAGCTATATTTGCTGAGCACAGAGTAGAAGTTTGGAACTCACAGCCATTAAATAGTTGAGGTTAGGAGTTTGGGGGAAGCCTTTATTATTGGCAATTCCATTTAAATAGAGATGCTATTGTCCTTGGGTAGCTTGTAGACTATATTCTCTAGGACACGAGGCCAGAATTGTAATTTATCTTCTTTTGAGAAAGGAATGGATTTTTTTTTTTGAGTGCTATTTTGATGGAAAGGTTCAGATGCTGTAGCTGTGACCTAGCGACACCGAGGACTGAGCAAATAACACTCCAGAGGGAGGCACCCTAATAATTATACTGAGTTATAAACTATTCTGTTCTTAAAAATTACTCCTGCCTATTCTCCATCTTATTGCAGAAGAATAAGAGGGAGAGAGACTAAGACAGGAGAGGATAATTAAGAAGGACAGATTTGTTAAACCAGTCTTTTCCTGCAACTCTCGTAGTAAGCTATGTGCAAGTTAAATATAGAACTAACGGTTCCCTCGGGAGCCTGCTGGTGAACAGTTCACATGCCATGAATTTGTAGCAGAGATTCTCCTCTCATTCCCGTTGGCTGGCAGCAGTCTTCATTTTTAAATCATTAGTGCCTGTCTCCAGGGTAATTCTTGCAGGAGTGGTAGTCAGAGCAGAGTCTTTTAAAAGCTGCGCAAGATTTTTTGCCCACCACTTCTGCTGCTTAGTAACAACAGATTGTGAAGTTACGATATCTGCACATACCAATCTTTCATTAAAAAGCTGCAATAGGAAGATTACTTTTGGTGGCCTGTGTTCAGTAGGCTTAGGATCCTCTTTGACTTTCTTTACAAATCTCCTGAGTACAGTGTTGCTTTTGATTAGGTCAAGCCAGTGAATATAGCAGTGGCAGATACATGGGTTAGGGCAGCAGATGATTAGTTGATTTCCAGTGGTGACACTGACTTCCTCTCCAGTTATTTTTATAAGAATAGAAAATGAACTTGGTATTTTTCCATTTATCTAAAATATTGCAAGTGTTATGTTACAGTTTCCATAATACTTGTTTTTATGGGAAAGCCTGGCTACATTCAGCGGCTGAAACCAAAGCTTTTCTGAAAACAGAAGGCTGGGAAAGCTGAAGACTTTCTGTTTCACCTGGGCATCATTGTGGGCACTACAGCCCTGCCTGAAACACAGGACACAGACTGTTCTCCATGTGAATCTGCATCCCGGGGTGCTAGGGGAGATAAGGGGAAGAGCCAGCCCATGCCTGCCAAGACTGCTGAACAGGGCAGTAGCACCTGAGTTACTCAGTAGCAGCTACTCGAATGGCAAAGAGGAGCTTTTCCATGCACACTCCTAGAACAGCACTCACACTTTGCTGTAGTAATAAATTAACAGCATTTGTGTATGCAGGTATCACACATAGTAACATTTAATTAGGTTATACAGGGATCCTCTAATGAGTATTTCTATTAGTCCATATTACTGCATCTTCCAAGAAAAGAGAAACATAAAAGGAATTCTTCTTGATATTTTGTACATTAAGTTATTGCATCTTTAAATAGCAAGAGGTTGTTTTGATTTTTTTTTTTTTTATTAAAAAGCAACAACAAAACCAGAAAGTAGAAAACTGATCATATATATCTGGCACTGCAATTTTATATATATTCTGAGAGTTACGCACTTGGCTTTCCAAACAGTCAGTATTTTCCAGTTCATGCTGACTTTCAAACCTCTCAGGATCAATCAGCAAAGAGCATGAATATTGGGAACATGTTAATAACACTCAACCATGGGGAGAAGGGTGTCTGTGAGACTGTTTTGTTCTCTAACAGGCAAAGAGCTATAGGAAAGTGATCCCACCCATAAACAAACTCATACTTAAATTTAAAGATGAAAGCAACACAGAAACAATCCTCTCAGGCCTCATGACCAAGAAACACAACATCTTATCTGCCTTAATTCCTTGTCTCTAGTTATGAAATACAACATACTGCCTTTCGCTCCATGAACACTTCTGTGTCCTTGTTTGCAATTTGCTTTCTATGTAAGGAACATTTGCTGTTACATAGCAACAAGTTCAGGGCTCCAGCCGTTGCTGGACAACTTAACCTGCCAAAACCAGACACGAACTGCAGAGTTTTCACACTATTCTGAAATATTCTGATTCTGCTTTCAGCGCAGGCTTGGGAAGTTTGTTCTGGAAAGGCGTCTGCTGCTCCTGCTATTCTGGTGCTCTGTGTTCCTAGGATAGAAACATTCCCCCACCTTTTTTACTGCCATATGCTGGACACAAGGAAGTACTTTTTATATTACAAAACAAGCAAGCATCCATGGCTCACTTTTATAAGCATTTTTAAACTGCTGCCATTTTATTTCATATCCCTSAAGAAACTTTATCAGGAAATTACAGCAGTCACAAGCAATGTTTCTTCTGACAGATCATTCCAAGGGCACAAGAGGAAATACCTTTCTGTAATAACATGCCTATGAAACCCAATTCTTTGCGTCTTCTGTAGCTCTTACAGTCTGTCCTTCTCTAGGTTTATCCCCTGCCTGGAATGGACTGGAGCTGAGGTGTTCTTGTGCTGCATCCTGGGAGCATTCAGGATTTGGCCTCGCTGCTGGGTCTCTGCTGACTGTATCAAGTGAGCACTGGATGGGGTTCAGCCCACAGCCTCCTGTCACCTCTCCAGGGATGTCACTGCGCTTTGGCCTTGCTGGTGCTGTCTCAATATACTGTGCACCTGTTTTCATAGCTTCGTCATAAGAAGGTGGTGGCTTTGTTGCAAAGAGATCATAAGCTGGAGGGGACATGGTTTTCCTGTCCATATCCACATATGACAGAGGAGTTGGGGCACATGGAAGGCACTGCAAAGAGCCATACGCTGTAAAGAGAAGGAAAAAAGAGAAGATCTGAAAGAGGTTAACCTACCACCGACCTTATTTTAACCCGTTAGGAGACCAGCTCAGAAAGCCACAGCTGAGTGGCAGTGGCATCAGTGCGTGGATGTGGCATCAGTGCCTGAGCTGCGAGGTGCCACGGGGCAGTCGCCTCCCCAGGTCACTTACGCGTCGCTGCGCACTGCGCAGGTAAGCACTGGCCCGGGGGCCTCTTCCTGCAGCAGCAGAGCCTCACGCAGCTCGCGGTGGCGGTACCCAGCAGCAGCACCAGCATCATCAGCAAGAGGAGCCTTAGAGGAGGAGGGAGAAAAATTCCATCATTTCACTGCATGTTGTACCTCTTCCAGAGCTGAATTAACAGGAGAACAGTTCCATTAATATTAGGGTCAGACACTCGCAAAGACTGTACTCAGCCCAAAGTTCGAAGGCCTCGAACTTCCACAAATCACACAGCACAAGCTCAGGGTTCCTGCAGAAGTCTCATGTGGCAGCTATTTCCTTTATGCAGCTGATTTCAGTTACATTTTCCTGCAAATGACTGCATGGAAAAACCCTTCCAGGCACTTGAAAAATCACATGCGATAAGAACAGCCTGCCCTGCTGGGCCTTCACTGCGGAACATCCCCCTTTCCAAGGGCCAGCCTGGGCCTCCCGGGAAGCCATCCCGCTGTCGTCTGCCATGCCGTGTCAGCCACGCTACAGAAGCCTTGAAATATTGGGTGTAAAATGCAGGTAATTTCTAAAGAGGATTTTCTAGTCAACACATCCTGGAGAAACAAATGTCAACCTATATTACTCTCTAGACCAAATAACCAACCAGCTTGATCTACTTGCTACCAGAGTCATTCTTTTTGACAGAACATAAGCTATAAAGCAATGTTAAGACACATGCAATGAATGTTCCAGGCAGTTTAGCATATTTTACAGGCAACTTTCCCATCCTGTATAAGGAGTGTTTCCATTGCTACTCATCTTTATTCTGTGTTAGCAACAGACTTACCAGACGTACCACAGGCTTGTCCAGTCAGTCACATCCTGGAGGCATCTGTGAAGGAAGGTTCACAACTCACTGTTAAAAGTCTGTGCCGTTAATTTGTGACAGAAAAATTCAAGTAATTTATGAACTGAAGAAAGTAAAAGTCATTAACAGAATGGAGCAAAGCCCCTTTAGTTTTACTTTCAAAGATCTCTTCTTCAAAGCTGTACCATTTTTACAGCTGAGAACAGGAAAATCCTACTGTAAAGAGCTCACTCTGAGTGGATAAATGTTTTTGCAAAGTGGCACCTTTACCGTCCTTCAAGAGGGAGGACTACCCAGTAAAGCTAGAACTGACTTGTTGCAAGTTGGCCTTAGTACCAGGAGGAGAGAGCAGTTTCTAGCACAGGCAGAAGCACCGCTGCCGCCAATTCACAGCTAGTGACCCGCGCGGGGGTCTGCAGGAGCAGAGCCGTCCTGCGGGCAAAGCCGCCCCTTCGCCGCGGGGCTCTTGGCCCGGCGCGCGGGTGCCGGCAACGGGWGCGCCGCTCTGGGTACTCACTGCTCGAGGTTCCCGCAGGCGTTGCCCGAAGCGCAGAGCGACGCCTGGCAAAGGGAAAGAAGGGCTCAGGTGAGCGCGGGACCGGGCGGCGCGCGGAGCCGGCGAGAGGCAGGCGGCCCC